CAATAGTTATATTTTCATATGGACTATAGTTTTTTTTGCTAGATATTCATTCATATAATTCCAAATATCACGAATACGTGTGGCCTTATCACTTTGCAAGCGGAATGGACGTGTGCGTCCATCATCAAACCTAATCTATCTTGTCAATAAAAGGAAACGTTTATGAGACATAGCTGCTCTGAATATCGGTAGGCCATCTATACGCCACAAAACTACTGATTTTTGTGTGTTATTATGTGAAACACCAGCTGTGTTAAATGTGGTGAACATCACTTAACATCAACATGCTCCAAATCATCCGACTTACCGGCAAAATGTGCTCTTTGCAATGGCAGCCACCCTGTCAATTACAAAGGCTGTGCCATATATAAAGAACTACAACAATGCCGCCGCTTCCCACCCAACATAACAATCAGCATCGTCAATCAACACAATCCGAAAACCAGCAAACCCCACCAATCAACCAACAGACTACAGACCCAGCAGCTCCAGCACCAGGGACCAAATTGAAATACTCATATGCAGAAGCAACTGCCACCACAGGTAACGCACCACCGAAAAATGTCTTTAATACTCAACACCCAGTAAATATTGAAAACTTACTAAGTTTATAGATGACTTTAAGTGCATAATCAATCCACTTCTCTATCTTCTCACAATAGTAATTTCAAATCTATCCAATCTTCTTAATGCTAAACACAACAACTAATACATATACTGACAGCTCCCTCCTGATCTTCTCGTGGAATGCGAATGGTCTTAAAAATCACAAAGATGAACTTCTTCTTACTCTTCAAGACAAAATAATTGATATTGCACTCATTTCTGAGACTCATTTTACAAATAAATACTTTCTTCACCTACCAGGCTTTCAGTTGTATCAAACCAACAATCCAGATAACACCGCTCACGCAGGCGCTGCTATCTATGTGAGATCTTCTCTCGCATCCCATCCACTCCCGGAATTCAAAACTGACTATATACAGTCATGTGCAGTATCCTTAATAGTCAACAACATACCTCTCTAAATAGCAGCTATTTACTGTCCTCCTAAACATAGTATATCCTCCGAACGATTTAACCTTTATTTTAATACTCTTGGCCACAACTTTACAGTCGGTGGGAACATAAACGCCAAACAAATCCAATGGTGATGCCGGGTCTCAAATCCTAGAGGCACCTCACTCTTGCATAGTATAACAACCAAAAACCTTAAAGTCCAAACCCCACATACTGGCCAACATCTCCTAGGAAACGACCAGATATACTACACATATTTGTAACAAAAATTCCCAACACACTCTACTCCTCAATTGTAAACACTCATGTCCCATGCTCAGACCACTCCCCCGTATTACTCTCAATAGACTGTCAGCCTCTATCTAAACAGTATAACCCAACACCGTTACATATTCACATCAACTGGGACAATTTCCATAAATCAATTTTACAAAAAAACCAGTCAAAAGTCCGCCTAAAAACAATAAATGATATTGATGAAGCTGTGAATCTCCTCACATCCAACATACAAGTTTCAGCATGGGAATCAGCAAAACCATCGTAACCACGCATATCCAACATAATTCTTCCTTTATATATTCGCAACCTCATATCACTAAAAAGTCGTGCCTGCTGCTCATGGCAAAGAACAAATTATCCTTCCAACAAATCCCAATACAATGCGCTTGCACAAAAACTAAAACGGACCATAGCTAAATACAGAAATGAATCTTATACAAAACATTTAGAATCACTCACGACAAAAGACGTTTCTCTCTGGAATGCTACCAAACACCTTCTTCGTATACATAATCCTCCTGCTATACTGCGAAACACTAATGGTAATTGGGTACACTCTGACGAGGACAAAGCTAGCATATTTGCAAACTACCTGGCTGAAACCTTTCAACCTCATAATAACATTCTCCTTCCGGAAATAATTAACGTAGCTGAACAATTTCTCAAATCTCCACAACAAATGTCATCCCCGCCAAAACATACCTCTTCTGCTGAAGTTCATTACACCATATCCAAACTCACACGGAAAAAGTCCCCTGGTTACGATTTAATAACTTCAGAAATACTAAAGCAGCTTCCGCAAAAAGTTATCGTTCTAATAACCTACATATTTAACTCAATGCTCCGACTGTCCTACTTCCCTATCCTATGGAAGTACTCATCTATCATACTCATTCTTAAACCAAAAAAACCGCCGACCTTCCGTCATCATTAGTCTTCTCCCAATATTATCAAAAGTATTTGAAAAAATTCTAACTAAAAGAATTCTAAATATTATCGTTGAAACAAAAGTCCTACCCGACTCACAATGTGGCTTCCACAACAAGCACTCTACAGTCCATCAAATCCATCGAATAGTTGATAAAATATCTTATTCTCTAGAAGAAAAACAATACTGCACTGGGTGGGGCCTTCCTAGATTTTTCTCAAGCGTTTAACCGAGTTTAGCACGCAGGTCTGCTATTCAAATTGAAAATCATCCTATCCACTGTGCAATACCATGTTGTATTAATGATAAAACAATATTACGTTGTAACATGTAACATTACAAAATGAGTTAAATTTTAGTAAAAATTATATCGCATTAACTGCTAATAACTAGTTACTATTTACCTGATAATATCATTGAATAAATATTGCATGAAAATATATATTCAACGTAAATAGAAACCTTCTTAACAATGTGTTCATTTAATGTTGCATAGGAATTAAATAGCCACAACCCTATAATGTTAAACGATAATACACTTATTTTACATTGGGAATTAACATTGCATGCTTGTTATAATGTGACAATTATTAAACTTCAGTTTTGTAGCGTTAAACCAATGTGTTTGAAATAACATTACATAGGTATTGATTATTAAACATCACATACACAATAATATGATAGGTATTTATAACACATAAATATATTTTAAGAATATTAATATTTATTAAATAAATAAAAAATCAAGTAAATAATTATAACTATATATTTTAAGCAAGAATACATTATAATATAATTTAAACATAACACAATAGGACAGGTAATAATATGATATTAATCAGAGGATAGTGTACGACATAAAGTAGTCACAATCGCTTTGTTATCTGTAATACAAATAAAAGTACATTTATACTTAATGTCACTAATATTAATTTTAAATTCATTTGACAAAAGGTGTGTATCAACTATATATGAATCTATAATACTAGAATCAATAGGTCTTATAAACAAGGGTGTTAAACTTAGATAATTTTTAACAATTAATTTGACATCACAATCCTGATCTGGTTTGCTTTGTTTAACAATATTAGTTATTTTAACCAAAAATTGTTTTTTAACATAACATACTTGTCACACTCTTTTGAAACATTTATATAAAATGTTTGAATTTTTTAAAATAAGTTTTTTAAAAGGTTTATCAATTAATAAATATGATTTTGAAGTTATTCTGTTTTCTAATCCTTTAATTATTTTAAATTGAAATGGTTTTAATGGAGTAGATACAAAAATATTTTGTTTCTCTTTAATTCTATTAGTTATTTCTTGAAGAGGGTATTTTACACTTTTTATGGATTTTTTGATTTCTTGTAAGTATTTCTCATATTTAAAACAACTAAAATTGTCTAACGATCCATGTATTTTAACAAATCTAGGTAAATGTAATAAGTTGTGAACATTATATGTTACCAAATGTTCTCCATATAAAGATGAATATAAACTAACAAATTGTTTTAATAACCCTTCAGCTAAATTATTGTATAATTGGCAAATATGAGGAGATACTATGATACTTAATAAAAGAGACATAGTCACCCTTTAAACCCAAGAATGTGCCACTGTAATAAACAATAATATAATTTTTTTGAGTAGGTATACTACACTTTTCTTAATTAGTAGAAATATTTTAGAATTATTTAAATATATTATTAACCTTATGGCAGGCGCGCTACTATGTATTACATGGGCAGGCACGTGTCGTACTTTATACGACAGAATGCTTTTCATATATATTTAATTAAAATAAAGGATAAATAAATAATTTTTAACCTTTAGTGACGCGCGCGGTATCAGACCATATAGTTGCGCGCGTGGGGTAATTTTTTTCCGTTAATATAAAAATACTTTTTTCTTTACATTATTCAGTTGTTATTGACTATTTATTGCAGATTTTAAATTACAATTTATAAAATAACTTTCTTATTAAATTATTTAAGTATATATTAATTAATTTACATGCGTGTTTTACAAATTTTAATAAAAAAAAAAATATAATAACCTTTGTTTACAAATACATCATTTTTATATCCTTAAAATTTAAAAATATTAAAACTATGAAGCCTCAAAGCAATCAGGGCAAGTCTCTATTATATGGTCTCTGCAAATGAACCTTGCGCAATTGGTACATACTTTTGTAGCCTTACGATCTTTTGAGCGGTCACAAAAAGTACATCTTCCAGAAGCTCGTACACGTTGTATTTCCCCCACGTTAGGTCTTGTTATGTTGCAGTATTCATGTAGTCTTAATTTTATTTGTTTTGGCAAACAATCCAGTGTCAAACGATATTCCATTTGTTCTTGCATTAGTTGACGAGCTAATGTCTTCAAAATTACAAGTCTTGTTTTTCTTATTGAAGTATTTTCTTGGAAAATAATTTGTGCGTTTAGTCCGCCGATGTTTAGCATTGAATAAAAAACTACTAATGGCCAACGAATACACCGCCGTGCCACAGTGTAATTCTCAGTTTTCTTATCTATTGTATCCACAGAGCCTTTCGTTGCATTATACATCGTTATCATGTTTGGTTTTTTTGCCGCTCCTGTACTACTATCGATTGAATTATCATTGTGCATTGTGGATAATAGTGATACTATTTTGTTATTTTTAGGTTTGTATGAAACTAGAACTTTTTTTTCACAAAAACCAAAATAAGAACTAAATACAGGGCGATTTTTCGTGATTTTAAATTCCGGTGGTATTTGAGTTTTATTTTTCCTAAGGGTACCAAAGTAAGGTGAGTTTTTGATTCAGCAATTCATCTGCAAGCGGGACACTAGTAAACCAGTTATCAATTGTCACGTTTCTTCCCGTGTTCCTAATAGGTTGTATCAAACGATGGACAACATTTTTCGGACTATTATCAATACTAAATGGACCATCGGGTTGTTTTCCGGCATAAATTTCCATATTACTGGTAAAATATGAAATGTTATCTACCATAGCAAAAATTTTTATACCATATTTAGCAGGTTTGGACGGGATGTACTGCCTAAAAGAACAACGACCACGAAAGACTTGGAGTTCTTCGTCTATAGTGACAAACTCGGATAAACTATATGACTGTTTACACTGTAGTATAAAACTTTCGAATAACCATCGCACATGGGTTATTTTATCAAACTTTTTTCTTTCTTCACGTCCTCTTATGTCATCAAAACGTATGTATCGCATTAAAAATTCAAACCGTTTTTCTGACATAACACATGATACAATATCTACACCTACTCCATCTAATTTCCACAAATCCCGAGCATTTTTATGACCACATTTTATTGCACCAAATAACAGAAATATGATAACAAATAAATAAACAACTAGGTACCTATATATTATATATTATGTATATAATATTTATAATTTTTCATAATGAATAAGTAGTCTCCTATATATTGGTCACGTTTATCAAACAAAATACAACGATAAGAACGACGGTCGACGACGACTGACGAAAATAACTACAAAATAATATTCTAAATATATATTGGTTTTTGCGAAAATATTATCTTAGCAGGGCAGTATCGTAAAATAATTTATTACCAGATGTGTAACGTATACAAATTTGTAATTATTATAACTATAAAACTATAATATAAATTATTATTACTTACCAATCATGTACAGGCAACCAAGTAAACCTTTTATTTCCCGTGTGGTTGTATGAGCTACATCTCTTTCTCTGGCAAAATTTGACTTAATTTTATCGATATATATATTTGTACAGAACACTATATGTTCAATCATAGGACTCGTAAAAAAAACATACCATGCGTCAATTTCGGTTTTTGCATTTTTTGCCATATTAGTCACACCTGGTTTTTCAGTTATCTTATTGTAATTTGGATTTTTTGTTCTCTGATTTGTCTTACGACGATTCCATTTTGTCCCATCTTTTCCATAAAAATACTCTACACGCATACTTAGTGGAATTTCATCGTCAGATTCATGATAAGATTCGCAATCTGCTGATAGTTTTTGTTGAATATCATTGTGAATCTCATCGTCGGTCGATTCTCCTGATTGTTCAGTGTTTGAAGTTTCTAATATATCAACATGTTCATCGGGTGAACATTCATCAGTAGAAGATGTACCACCCCACAATTCCTCGTCACTTATGTCATCCAATAGGCATGCAATACGACGGCGTTCTAATTCATCCATACTTACTTACAAAAAACTACTATTATTTAACAAAAATAAGCGCGCGCGGGGTAAATTTTTGCCGAACTTCAAACACAATCACTTTAGTCAACGATTACTCACGTACTGATGTTAATTAAATCTAGATTGTTACGTTTTCATGATTGTATGATAGTGACTATAAGATACCATGACCCGCATGAGTGTGAAAAATCCAACGAATATTTGATAGCATTTTAAAAATAGATTGGGGTAAATAATTGCCCCGCGCGCGTCACCAAAGGTTAATAGAAATATTTTTTTGTAACATTTTATTCTTATTTATATAATATTTTATAATATTATATATATAATATAAATAAATAATCTAATTCTAGTCTGATAAATTTTCGTCATTACATGTCTGACAAATTATTTCATGTTTGCTAGAATGCTTCTTACATGTGTACAACTTGCATTTATAGCATATCATTGTAGCAGATGATCTCTTTTTTTCGATCGTACATAAACGACAAACTCCGCGCTTCTTAGGAGGCTCCTGTACACCTTCGACAACGTTTTCCATTTGGTATTTTTTTAAAAAAACTGATACATCCATTGGTAATGTTTTAATTTTCGATCTTGAAATAAGGTGTTCTTTCATTAGACTCATAGACAAATTTTTTAGAAAAATTCTACGCCGATTCGGTGCATCATTCGGCTTTGAAAATGCATATAAAACTTGTGCGTTTATTCCGGCAATGTTCATTAGACTATAAAAAATCACACAAGGCCAACGTTTCGTAATTCTAGACACAGTATAAGTAACACACATTTTATCGACAGTATCTACACCACCTTTTGTACTATTATAATCCATGATTATTTCTAGCTTTTTAGTATATTATTAATATTATTACGACCAGGCGCGAGACGTATTTCGTGCGATCGGACGGAGTTGATTGAAATATACATCGATAATAATTTGAAAAATATGTAAGATTAGATAACAATTATTAAGTGTTTATAACATATACGTCATTGTGGAATAGGAAAAACCCCAGTATTAATCGGGATACGTAGATAAAAGTTATGTCAATTAATCTATAGTTGTCGTACAAAATGCGCATATTAATAAATTAAAAAAATGTATTCCAAAAACACAATTCAACAATATGTACTAATCAATAGTATACTAACAGGTTTTCCAAATGAATTTTCTAAAATATGACCCGATTGGTTAGCCGTAGATGTGAAAGGTGCCTAAAACAATAAGTGCATAAATATTGTTTATTAACCAGCTACAATATAGAATATAGATAAAAAAAAAAAAACAATAATTTTTAAAAACTTTTTTACATAACACTTTTCAAAAAGGCTAAAAACCACAAAATAAATTGTGTAATTTATTTATTTATTACTAATTACCATCATGCTTGCGATATATCTTTCATCTTCATTATCATTGGACAGGTTGTGAAGTATTGTGTTCCTGTTATCATTAGTGTTGCATCTTCCCACATAAGATGTCTATAATTTAACAATATATACAAATGATCAATTTTAATATAATTTGTTATTATTAATGAAGTAAAATAATTTATTTCAAAAACACAATTCAACAATATGTATTAATCAATAGTATACTAACAAGTTTTCCAAATGAATTTTCTAAAATATGACCTGATTGGTTAGCCGTGGATGTGGAAGGTGCCTAAAACCATAAGTGCATAAATATTGTTAATTAACCAACTACAATATATCTATAATTATTTTAATTTAACTATTAAAAATGCAACAAAAACATAAATAGGTTTTATATGAAGATCGTTATTTAAACAAAAAAATTAAGGACATTAGATTTTAGAAAGTATAAATGTAGGTACTGATTAAAAAGTAATTTGTTAGTCTGATTAAAATTGATACTTTATAAACCTACCAGTTTTGAGTTTGATATGTTATGTTTCAGTGGCATAGCAATGTAATAACCTATACAAAAATAAATTTTTAATATTATGTATTTATTTTAAATTAAATAAGAGGAATTCAAATGAGTTTATTAATTTAAAAAATAACCTATACAATTTACCCTCTTCACTTGAATCTGACTCTTCTACTAAACTTTGGAACAAGTTTTTAGTTTTTTTATTAGATTTTGGACCATCAAATTCTTCAGATGATTCAGAGTTAATTTGGACCTTTTCATGCCATGCTTTATTGAAATTTGGTAAAATGTGCAGTAATTTAAAATAGAATTGGTAGTTTTTACTAATAATTAAAAGTTACATTCAGTATTTCATAATTTTACATAGTTATGAATATTATACAATTATATTGCTTACAGTATTCTTTTCCATTGTTTGCTAACTGAATATTATACGATGGCCAGTTTGGGGATGGATCCACAGCAGATTTTATTAAGTCACTGGTTACAAAAACATTTGTCGGTGGCCATTTACAAATAATAGTTTAACGACCATTTACAGTAGTTTCAAACAGCCAATTAGTTGGAACAGCGCTAAATTCTTTTGATTCGGGAAATGTACCAATAACCCATTTTTTTGACTTTGAACCCTTCAATATGGATAATTTTAATTATTATTAGTTTTTTAAATTAGAAAGTTAGAATAGTTAGATTCACCTATAAGCTATAATAATTACTGAATTTGATTAATTACTAAATATTTATATTAAATTATGAAATATATATATTATATAAGTATATGTATTTGTTATGTTTGCAAATTTCAATATATCATGGACTTTTAATATTAGCGATATTATATTTGGTTTACCAGCTGTGACTTATTAAATAATTTCAATATTTTAAATTTATGTATAATTTTTATAAAAATAAATAAAAATCAGAGAAGGCATTTTCTACGTAACTTTGAGCAGTGGCATGATTTCAGTTTTAAACAAAGGTTGAGGGGTACATTTTGATCAGCCCATAAGTATAGCAATTTAGGGAACCTAAAAAACAATTTTTTTCACTCACAAACCAATTTTTACTTAAGTTATTACCTTATATTTGTAATGAGTGACTACAAATGCATACCTATTTTATATATTATATAATTTTTAACATGAAACATGCTTACAATAATTATTAGTACAAAGAACGGGTATAAAATACAATACAAATTAATTATCTAAGATCATTGCACAAACATTATTGAAAATATATTAGTTTAAAAAAATATATAGGTATTTACCTGCCTGTTAATTAAATATTATTTCAACAAATTGAACATACCTGTTTGATCGCTGTAGTTGAAGAAGCCATATTATTATGAGTTTATACAATATATAAGTTAAAACTAAATATTTTAAACTGTCACGTATTAACTTTACTTACAACCTGAACAAATTAATTATAAAAAAATAGTTCGCACTTTGTGGAGAATGGTGGTATCAAAAATTACAATTATCTACACAAAATTGAAAAATTGTTAACTGATGTAGAATAACAACATAGGCGAGACGCTATACTTTACTCTATGCGCTAGTTGAACGAGCAATAACTAATATTAATACTATTTAAGATTATAAGTTGTTTTTCGTATATAATTATTATGAATAAAGCATGTCTATACATTGTGTAGATTCTAAATATAAATAAAAAGTAAAATACCCCTATAGGCATGATAATATAATGAAATATTATGTTGCTATAATATTATCAATACCAATAATACCTATAGTAGATTGTGCTAAATATAGTATCATATATATGTAAAAACCATTCGAAAATAATAATTTACAATACATGTTAACCTGCAACAGTCTTACTATGTTCTATCAATACAAATTTATAGCGTGTTACAAATGATAGTTATACAATATTGGATAAATACACTTGGTAAATCCTTGAATTTATGTCACATGAAATACTTATTACAATACCAAATTATTCTTTTATTAATATGTGCATAATGTATCATTTCAATATCGCGAAGATGCAACGTTTAAAACATTATCAAAACGTTTTTCCGTGATATTAATTTGTTTTTTTGTACACAACAATAAATTAATGTCTTATCAACATTAAATTGTAATGTTACTCAGGAATTATAATTTTAACATTGTGATGATGGTTTGTAACAAAGCTTGCACAGTGGGTACCATCTAATTACTACCTTTTAATTAAGTCCTACTTAGAAATCCGTTTCTTCTTGGTACGTTATGGCTCAGCCACCTCTTCTCCAAAACCAATAAAAAGCAGAAGTCCCCCAAGGCGCAGTCACTGCTCCCTTACTATTTAATATTTTTCTATATGACCAACCCACCCTACCCACGAGCCTCATAGCTGACTTTGCTGACGACAAAGCACTTATAGCCACCAGCCACGATCCTACTGTTGCCTCGGCACTCATCTAAGAACATCTCTCACTTCTCGAAAAATGGTATTAAGAGTGGGGAGTAAAAATAAATGAATCAAAATTGACACACTGTACCTTCGCCCTTAGAAAGGGAAAATGCCCACCTATTACCCTTAACAAGCATACTCTCCCAATCACAGTGAGCACTCGCTATCTTGGCATTATTATTGACCAACGTCTTACCTGGTCTCCTTAACTCCGTGATAAACTACTATCCTTAAATAATCGTTTCTGTCTTCTCCGCTCTCTTCTAACTTCCAGCCATATGAGTTTACCTACCAAGCTACTAATATACAAACTTTTCCTCAAACCAATGTGGACCTACGGAATCCAGTTATGGGGTTCCGCAAAAATCTCAGACATAAACCGCATACAGCGCTTCCAATCTAAAACCCTTTGTGCAAAAGCACCTTTTTACGTATCTAATCAGTCCTTATACAATGACCTTGCCATCCCACCCGTCCTCGATGTAGCTAGAACTTTTTACAGGCGATACAATTTAAATATTCAAAACCACACTAATCTCTTAATAAAAGGTCTTGCGTCAGAAAATATACCTGGTAACCCCAGGAAAAGATTAAAAAAGCGGTGGTGTCGGGACCTACTAATCTAAAAACTTTTAATTGTAATATAATTGTATTGTAATATAATACTAAACCTATATATTTATGTACATAAGTAACTGTCAAAGTGCCTTTACTGAAAGGTTTCTTTAATCTGTGTTTCACTCAAGCCATTATTCTCTCATAACTTTTACTCATAGTATCACGCGAGCAACCGTACCTAACGCACGCCTTTTCGTCGCTCCGTTAAATACCGCCGAGATCTCGATCATAGATGCTCAAATTTTTCCCAAATTTATATATGTTTATATTATATTATGTAGCATATACATATATATATATATACATATACATTATACAAATGTAATATATTACTATATTATATTGGTAATTCTTTATAAGTAAATCAAGTTCGTTCGTAAATTTCCAGTGTCTTAATTACCGTACAGCCGTCGCGTTATCGCGAACACCGCACGGCCACCGTTATCGCGTACGTCGCGTAGCAGTGCGCGACCTTTGTCTCCGTGACAAACATGCCACAATCGCCGAATGCAAAAACTAAAACTAATAATAAAAATAAAAATATTAATAATAATAATACAAATAATAAAACCATTATACAGGATGCTCGCCTAAACTTATCGACAAATAATCCCAACGTGAGCTATTCACCCACACAAAATAATTTAAATAGTCCAAACAATGATGGCTGGACACATCAAGCCGAGAAAAGAAACCGCTCAAGTTCCTCAGAACCAAGCTCTCCAACTCAAAATACCAACAGACACAAAAAGCTATTTATTTCTAGAAATCGATTTGATGTTCTATCGCAAACTGAAACAATCGAAGTTGACACAATAACACCAAACCCAGATCCTGATGTAAGCAACCCTGAAGCGCACACCTCACAGGAAAAAAGTACAAATCTACCCCCTCCCATAATAGTAAAAGGAATTAAAGACTTTGTAAGTTTACACTCGGAACTCATAAACCTTGTGGGTCCTGAAAACTTCATATTTAAGTCAAGCATTAACAACCTCAAATTCCTAACAAAAAACCCAGAAACCTACCGAGCAATCATCCGTTTCTTACAAGGTGCAGAAGCCGAATTCCACACATATCAAATGCAAGAAGACAAAGCCTACCGCATAGTCATAAGAAATCTTCATCCAACAACGAACACAGCAGAAATTAGAACAGCTTTAGAAGAAATTGGTATTCAAGTACGCCAAATCACAAATGTCCTACATAAAACAACAAAATTAAATCTTCCAATTTTCTTTGTTGATCTCGAATCTTCTGAGTTAAATAAAGACATCTTCCTCATAAACCACATTCTTCACACTAAGGTAAAAATAGAAGAACCATATAAAAAACGTGACCTAGTACAATGTCAGAATTTCCAGGAATACGGTCATACAAAAACGTACTGTGCACATACACCAAGATGCGTTCGGTGTGCTGAACATCACATCACCTCAGAATGTTTAAAGCCTCGAAGTCTACCCGCCAAATGCGCGCTATGTCAGGGCGAACACCCTGCAAACTATAAAGGATGCCAAATTCACAAGGAGCTTCAAAGACGTCGCAACCCAAACTCAAGAACCATCCAATCAACTTCAATCAACAACCAGTCCAATCCAAAAACCACAGTGAAGACTTTTTCGACTGAATCCAATCCCTCGCCCTCTCAAAATAGAACTTATGCAAATGTAACCTCGAATCAGGAACCTCTAAAATCTAACAACAGTAATCAACCAGACACAGGTACCTTATTATATAAATTTATCAGTGACTTCCAAGCTATCATAAATCCATTGCTCTCCCTTCTTACAACAGTCCTTGCCAAACTTGCAGCCCAAATTGACAAATAATACCCAAACCTCCAAATCATTGCTCATACTCCTTTGGAATGCTAATGGTATTCATAATCATATAGAACTCTCACTTGTACTTCATGAAAAACGTATAGATATAGCTCTAATATCTGAAACACACCTCACTAACAGAACAAAAATACACATACCCGACTACACAATACCGAGATCAAACCACCCAGACGGTACCGCACACGGAGGAGCGGCGATAATCATTAGATCTACAATTCTCTTTCATAATGTCTCTCAAATTAGCGAACCCCACATAAAATCTTTCACCATACAAATTACTCTAGACCATTCTCCTATCTCCATCACGGCAGCATACTGTCCCCCTAACCAAAAAATTTCCACAATACTATTTGAGCAATTTTTCAACTCTCTTGGAATTTACTTTATTGTTGGTGGCGACCTCAATGCTAAACACACCCAATGGGGATGACACTCAAACTCACCAAGAGGTAACTCTCTTAGACAAGTTATTACTACCAAAAATTACTTAATCATTTCACCCCAAGACCCCACATATTGGCCAACATCACCCCGAAAGCGACCAGATATCGTTGACATATTCGTCTCTAAAATACCGAACAGATTTAACACCATCATAGATAATCTAACGAATCCTCACTCAGACCACTCGCCAGTACTTCTCACCCTCGACACCTCTCCTCAAAAAAGATTAATGAATCCATCATTAATCAATGGAATAATTAACTTGGAAAAATTCCAATCGATACTCACAAATGACATTAACCTGAACGTTAGTTTAAAATCTCCAAATCAACATGAAGAATCAGTACAATATCTAACATCAACAATACAAAATGCAGCATAGTCCTCTTGTAAACCAAAAATAATTGATAATTACAATCAAAGTAATCTCTCTTTGCCTACCTATTTAAGATATCTTATTGTCCAAAAACGTCGTGCCAGAGCAACCTGGCAGAGAACAAAATATCCCACCGATAAAACTAAATATAATCACCTATGCACATTACTCAAACGACAAATGGCGAAACAACGTTCAGAAGACTTCGCCAAACAAACTAGCCTATTAACTGAAAAAGATGGCTCTCTGTGGAAAACCACTAGAAAAATCTTAAAAATCAAAACAATGTCATTTCTAATCAAAAAAATAGACGGCAGTCTCGGGGGACGGCAAAAAAATCAAATACAAATAAAATACAAGTGTTTCAATCAAAAATTCTCCGACTCATAACCAATGCTCCTCCTTATATTTCAAACCACACACTTCATACAGATCTTCACATTCCTAAAGTCACTGATACAGCCAAGCTATACTACTCAAAATTTAGGAATCGCCTTCAAAATCACCCTAATCCCCATATAAAAAAGCTATTATCCATCTCCATCCCAGGAAATCCCACCAGGAGACTTAAACGACAATGGTACCGTGACCTTATAAAGATAACCGTATAAACATAATATGAATACGCCTAA